AGCAATCTTACAAACTTTGGCTCATTATTCTTGCAAGCTCAGCATTAGAGAGAGAGATTGGGATCTTTCCAATTAATTCAAAGATAAAGAAACTGAGCAATGCAGAGCTTAAAAAGGTTCTTCTCAAAGTATATAAAGCCATAAATTGCTCATCGTGGCTTTTTAATTGGGCAAAAAAGAACCTAAATGTTATTTTTGGAGACTAGTATAAATTACGGTACATTCATAACAGCATCACGTAGCCATTAAAAATCAGGTTTATTAAGAATATTTAGTTACATTTGGGAAATGGTCACAATTGAGCGATATTAAGTAGCTCAAAAACAAGATAAAGTTTTGTGTATACAGTTTTATTTTCTTGAAAAACATACTGATGTACGGAGTGAAAAAACTAAACAGAAATATGCCAAAGTTTTGATAATGATTTTCCTCGGTACCAGAGGTAATGTGGTGGCTGCTATTTTCTTCTTTATACTTTTCAGTTATTCAAAATTGAAAAAACTGGGAACACAATATTTTCATAAATATATATTCCTTTCAAGATCATACATATATGTGATAATCACATCATCATGAGAGACTTGTGCGCATGTGTGTGAGAGAGGACCAGTTACCCAGGGTGGCAGGGGAAGCCTGAGAGTGACGAACAGCCCTGAGAAAAGGCCAGTATGGGAACATGAGAAGGTGAGAGACAAGGTCAAAGAAATTTGCACTAGCCCATCAGGTAGGACTTCTGATTAAAATGTTGGGAAAACCTTGGTACTACCTGACATAGCCTATTTTACATTTGTGAAAGATCCTCCTCACCAGTGTGCAGGAAATAGATTAGGGGCAAGGGTCCAAGTCACGGTCAGGTGAGAGAGCCCTGCAGTGATCCAGGTACAAAGCGAAGGTGGGGTGGCCTGGAGAGGTAGGGACTGCCTCGTGGAGTGCATATCTGACGCTCTGATTAGCTGCATGAAGCACATAATCATCATAATGGCTGTGGTTTGATAAGTCCTCACTCATTAATTCTTACCATGGTCCTGTAGGTTGGTGCAATTATTAGTCCTGTTGGAGCTTTGGAAAGGCTAAATAACTTGCCCAGGGCCCAAAACTGAAAGAAGCAAAAAATTAATTTACATCCCAGCTCTGCGGCCTCCATAGCCAACACATCGTATTCCTACCAGTCAGTAAGCATCAGCTGTCTTATCTAAGAGGTGACAGTGGAAATGGACAAGAGCGTGCAATAAGCAGACAGGCATCTGCACCCCACATATACAATGTGAACTGTCTTTGTCACCCATTGCTATACCCATGTCCACTCCTCATAGCAACTCTGGTCCCGTTATATCTGCCTGCAGCAGGCTTGAGCTGCTTCAGATTGACAGAGCAAGATTTCAAGGGCCCCTCAGAGACAGCTTGGTGGCATAGCCTGGACTGTCTGCCTCTCTGTGGCCAGCTCATAGAGGGAGCTGGCACTGTCCCTCTCAGGGCCTTAGTTTTCTTATTTTAAGATGTTGGAGCTTGTGGTAGGCATCTCCCCCTTGAGCACCCCCAGAGCTCTATGCTGGTCCTATCGCAGTGTCCTGGCCTACCGTCCGCTTTTCTTGGCAGGCGTCTCCAGTTCACTGATATTTGAGGCTCCTTGAGTACTCTGCTCATCTAAATTAAATTCACTGCCTTTTGGTGAAGTGGTTGCCTCATATTTTCTTCTTTTGATTTGAGTGTAGAAAGGGGTTTATGCACACGGTAATGACCCTTGTAAAAGAGCTCAACAAGAAGAGGACAAGGCACAGCTAGGAAGAGCTGGAAACAGATCAAGGGGAAAGTGCACTGGTCGCCACCGTGTCGGGGTCATGATACCACTGTACAAAGCCAGAGGGGCCTAGAGGGCCACAGGATAGAATCATTCACATCTGTTCCTACACTGTCGCCCCCATTCTGCCTCCAGCGAATCCCGCGGTGTAGAGAGGCTGGGGTAAATAGGAAGTAGGAATGCTGTGTATTTGCCCCCATCACCTTTGAATTTGCTCTTGCAAATTAACAGCTCCTGTACGTTCATTCATTCATTTAGCAGTACTCCAAAATACACATTAACAGATAAGCAAATGAGTTGAATCTTGAGGTTGAACATTTAGGGCAAAGAACAGAGTCCTTCCTTCCACAGCATTCACAGGGCACCGTTGCCTGTTATCCTGGTTTGTCCCAGTCTCTCCCAACAGCAAATTGAACCAGGCCTTCATGTGCTAGACAAGCACTCTACCACTGAGCCGTGTCTCCTCCCCACCCTCCTTTTCAGATTTTAAATTTTGAGATGGAGGTCTCACTAAATTGCCCAGAGTGGCCTTGCATTTACAATCCTCCTGCCTTAGCTTTCCAGTAGCTGGGACTCCAGGTGTACGGCACCACACTTGGATTCCTGGGTGTTCTTCATAGTCCCAGTACCGTTCGACCACCCACCCTCTCTCCTCACCCCCTTCTTAACACTTTGTAGAGCACTGAGGCGCAGGGGAGAGGGGAGTGCTCATGGAACAAACTGGGAAATGCGGCTTTGGGATGGGGCATTTAGTGACCATGAGGCTAATGGAATCAGCCTTATCTTAATGCCTGGTATGAGACTAAAGGAGGTTTTTATAATACTCAGGGAAATAAGTGTCTTTGCTTTTAACAGTGATTGAGTTGCCCATGAAATAGACTACACAATGAAAACTTTCTAACTCACTTTGAAAGTAAAGCTAAACAATAAAATACAAAAAGAAAAAAATTAGCCTGGTTCCCATTTCGAGCTTCTTTAATATCTGCTTACTTTAAAGTTTGCCCCATTTCTAAATGGTAAAAAGTCCCCCTACGACCTCTTCGCAGACCAGAAGAGAGATTCTGAGCACAAACTGGGGCATCGCTCTGGTTCCCGGGGACACCACAGTGGCCTTCCTGGCACAGTAGCTTCGGAACATGGCTTTCTCTGTTCCTCTGTCTATTCAGCTGGTACTGAAGGATTTCTTTGGAAGCAGTCTGCGTGGTCCATGAGAAACAGCCCAGCGTTTGGGCTTGTCCTGCTCATCTTTTTCTTTCAGTTTTATGCTCTCTGAATATCCCAGATTTTGTTGGTTAAATACACTTAAATCTTTATCTTCTGCTTCATATTTGAGTACAGACTTCATTCTTTCCCAGTGGAATATACTTTACATTGAATGGGTGGCACTGATAATTTTATTTAACTATATGTATTAAAGGTGTGCAACCTGTTGGTACAGTTGTATAGATCTACACTGTGCAAACTTACACGGATGGGTTGGTGGTTCTCAAATCTGGGCAACTTTGACCCCCAGGGGAGATTTGATAATGAGTAGGGGAGGCCCTGGTCTAATGCGGTGATTCCAGGGATTCTGTAGAAAGTCTTGCAGTACACAGGACAGTCCCCTGCTCCAAATGGTTCCCCAGTCCAAAAAGGTGGAAGGCAGCTAGGTTAAGAAATGCTGGTGTTCATTAATATGAAAACCCTTGAAAAAAATCCTGATTACCTGCATTCACTGAGGCAATGTCTACCAACCTGATCTTCCTGCTTGTTCACTTTTCTCCTGGTCTCCAGTCCACACAAAGGTGGTTTGGTACCTTGGAAGCACTCAAGGCAAGATTGTGTCTGAGCTAAAATATGGACCAAGAGTAAAACAGACATTTTCCCAAAGAGCACGACACTAATTGAATCAGTCTTAGGTATACCACTGGTATACTCAAATGTTAGTGAGACCCAGAAAATTAATGTAAGCTTGTCCTCAAGAGATGTCAGAATAACAGTATTGGAAAGCCGTTCTGATCATTTTAGTAGCAATTTTACTGTGGGAATATAGCACAGCAGTTAACAGCAGAGGAGCTGAACCACCTAGATTCAAATCACAACTCTCCTATTTTCTAGCTGTATGGTTTGGTGCATGTTATTTGACATTTCTGTGTCTCATTTTTTCCTCTCTTTTGTGATATGGGGATAACATGGGGCTGCTGATGATGATAACACTACCCACCTATATGACAATTATGAGAATTCTTTAAATTAATAGATAAGAAATATCTGAAACATTATCTGACTTATAAGTTCTATATAAATATTAGTATCGTTGTGTCTCAAAATTAAGGATACATTTCATCAAAAAATATAATATTTTATTCAACTATGTTGCATGCTAAAAGTATATCAGTGAATCAGAAAGCATCAGATAAAAATCCCTGTCCTCGGGGCTGGGGATTTAGCTCAGCAGCACAGCACCTGCCTGGCAAGCGCGAGGTCGTGAGTTCGATTCCTGGTACTGGAAACACCCCCACCAAAAAAAAATCCTGTCCTCATAGAGCTTATATTTTAGTGGAATATTCTAACTATAATGCAAATACAAATAAAGTCTACACAAATTATCCTTAGCCTCATGTTTGTTCTGTAGTTATTAAATGAATGAATGTGTTATTCACATTGTTGTCATTATTATCTTTATATAGCAGCTGGGCTTTGAGGTTTGAACGGCCCTCTTCCATAAGAAGAGAAACCTAACCTAATACAGAGCATCATGCCAATAAAAAATTGAAATTACCATAGAAAGATTAGAAAGCAAAAAGACAAAGTGAAGGATTGAAGTTAGGCCTCCATTTATGGCCATGGAGTTAGGTCTTCCTCTATGGCTATGAATTTAGTTTGCAGTGAGCTGAACCTATTTTGCTATGCTTCAGATATACAGTTACCTCTGTGAACATTTCTACAGCCCAAGGCATTAAGACTGACCAAGTGACAGAAGACACATCTTTCTATGTATCAAACAGAGGAAAGCACTGAGTTTTTCATCAGATGACTGTAGCTAAGGAGGTTGAACCAACAGTAACCCTCTCACTCCTCCAGCAATAACTCACTTCTTAAGGGAAAAACTCCTTTGGATAATCAGCCCATGAGCATAGGCCTGGGCATCCGCTAAAGAAGTTGGTTAAAATACAGTAAACTCTGGATCTTGTTCATTGGTCTTTTTTCTTTTCTTTTCCAGAAATCTTCTCTATGTCTACCCACAGAGGCTGAACTTTGCTAACAAACTAACATCTGCCCGTAACATCACAATAAAAATCCAGTTCATGTGTGGGGAAGATAATGGCGACGCAATGCCGGTAAAAAAGGAGCTAGTATTTCCCTCAACCCAGGGTGGGCTGCAGTTCCCTTACCAGTTCATGTGGATGAAATCTAAAACCAAGGAGCTCTCATCGAGGGCAAAGCTATGTGACCTTCTGCTTATGTAGACCTCTCGCCAGTGAGACTGTATGAAGACAGCCCTGGTTTTATGTGGCCCGTGATAACTAATATAGCACCTCGGAGCCTCAGTTTATTCTCTGTAACCAGTTCTCCTGCTACATGGTTGGGCCAGTTTTAGAACCTAGCACTCTTCATCTCTAAAATACAGTTCTATGAGACCAGGGCATCCTGTTGTCCTGATGATAGTTGATTTGGTTTACTAAAGAATCCCTGTTAATTCCTTTCTGCATTGTTGAATAGGTCATCTTTGGAAAATCCACTGGGCCTGAATTTGTACAGGAAGTGTACACAGCCATTACATACCATAATAAGTAAGTATATTTCAGAGTTTCTGGACATATGCTGACATTATTTCAAGTTTTTCTGAATTCCCCAAGTGACTTTTCTCATTGGGTTTTGTAATCCAGAGGCTAAGGGACAGTAGAAACTTATGCCAGTTCCTTAATTCAATGCTAGAGAGGCACTTTTTTGGCATTAATTAAGTCTGGGAGAAAAAATATCTTCAGAACCTTCAAGTCTAATACTAATGATGCAGAGAGACTGTACATTGTAGTGTTAAATAAGGCAATAAATTTCCTAACTCTCGTTGAGATACCAGAGGGGACCAGCAGCAGAGCTCAGCTCTCCTAGGCATTCCCTTGTTTCTGTATACTGCTCCTCACCTGCCCCGCTAGCTCTTTAAGTTGACGAAAGCAAAAGCATTATTCACATTTCACAGGGCAGGGACATCTGTACAGTGTCAGATGGCATTGGGTTTGATCTGGGCCTGATTACCTGGGCCCATTCAGGTACTTCATTAAAACCAGCCACATGTGGTGTGAGTATTAAGTGAGGTATTGTGCAGAGCAGATGGGACCGGGTGATTCTCTAAAGCCTGGCCCTTTTACTTCCTATATTTTCCATTTGTTTCTCAAGTCTTTTGATGAGTGCAGCCCTAGGCTAGGCTTTGTCCTTGGGGTAGAGGTGGGAAAAGAAGTCAAAGCTGGACTCTGATCCTCTTCACCTTCTCAGATTAAGTTGTTGGGTCTTTCCACTTTGTTCCAGAATTTTTTTTTTTCTCTGAGGAAGCTTTTAGTTTGTGAGCAGTTTTATGTAAGTGAAGTTTATCCAATAACATAAGCTTGGTCTCAGGGGCTTCTGGGTAGGAGCAGAGTGATATAAAATGAAAAGCTTAGTATCACACAGGCAGACTCAGGAGCAGAGTTTGTGGCATTGCAATTGGCAGTCAGAGAAGTCATCCTTCTTGCTAAAAGTTATTTGTGTATAATGTGCTTTCAAAACAGGTCTCCTGACTTTTATGAAGAAGTGAAAATTAAGCTCCCTGCTAAGCTCACAGTACATCATCACCTCCTATTCACCTTCTATCATATCAGCTGTCAACCGAAGCAAGGAGCCTCTGTAGAAAGTCTCCTGGGATATTCAGTGAGTTGTTTGTAACTTGCGGGTTGATTCACACTGCAATCGCTCATGCAGCTAAGGTCCCTGCCGAGATAAACAACTATATGCTCCTTACTAGCTTTTTTTCCTGTTAGAAGTAGCAAAATGTACTAACCCAGATTATAGCAAAGAGCAGAATTTAGCAAATGACAAATTTCACAAGTGAGGGGCTACTGGGTGATAGATACTGAAAGAATACTCATTCACTTAAAAAACAGTATTGTAGGGCTGGGGATTTAGCTCAGCGGCAAAAGCGCCTGCCTGGCATGCGCAAGGTCGTGAGTTCGGTTCCCGGTACCGGAGAAAAACCAAAAAAAAAAAAAACAAAAAACAGTATTGTTTCCAAATTTCACATATGTGCTTCACAGGTGGAACAACTACCTCTTTATCCCTCAAGGGAAAAAAGTTCTTCCTTTAAAAAATATAAAATTAAAATGAACATGATATTCAGACACAGACAAACACTAGCTCTAAGAAAAATGCTACTACTTCAGCACTGAAAACAATAAATCATTGATATTACTACCTTGAGGACTCAGGGAATTTAACATGCAAAGAACTGGGCAGAAATTCTTGCCAAAAAGAGATCTGGTCAATACCTAATCATTGTTTACTTGCATTTGATTATTGTGAGCAAGATAAATTGCTAGAATTATATGTGGTAATAAATAGCATTTTCTTCTTTGCATCATCTGTTTCAGTGGCTGCCAATTCTCTTAAATGAACGTCTTCAAACCGGATCCTACTGTCTCCCAGTTGCCTTGGAAAAGCTGCCGTTCAACTACTCCATGCACTCTGCTGAGGTGACTGCAGGCCGGCCCTTGGCTGCTTCCTGCCCAGAATGTGGCCTTGGGTCACCTTCCCAAACCCACTTCCCATTCCCTTACATGTGGCCATGTGTTTTCACTGTGTTTTCCGGAGTGGTCATCTCTTCACAAACCATGTTCTGAGAGTGCATCTGATAGGGTGGGGAAAATGGCTGTGAAGAAAACCACGTTCGTTTAGATGGCAGAATGTTCAGTAAAGGCAATGTGTACCCACGCTGCATTTTCTCCCACAGAAGTCACAGGGTATTATATTAGAGGAGACGAGCTGAGCCCACTTGTGATAAATGGCTGCTTCCAGCAAGGGTCCTTGGAAAAGGTTGCTAGGCCAGAGCCCATCCATTTCTCCTGTGGGTCGCAGCCCAGGTAGATGTTGGAGTTTTTATTCCTCTAGTGATCCCACTGCCAACCGCCAGCCCGCTTCCCATGTCCTGCACTTCCTGTTACCCACACAGTCTGCTTTATAGTACACCTATTCAAAGATGGCCCCAAGCTGGGTGGGTGACATATGCACTCTGGGAGGGTGAGGCAGGAGGATCACAAGTCTGAGCCCAATCTGAGCAATTTAGTGAGACCATGTCTCAAATCTTTAAAAAAATATATATATTTTAAAGGGACTAGAGATGTAGCTCAGTGCAAAGGCTGTGGGATCAATCCCCAGTACCAAGAAAAGAAAAAAGAAGAGAGGAGAGGAGAGGAGAGAAAAGAAAAAGAAAGAAGGGAGAGGGAGAGGGAAGAGAGAGAGAAAGAAATTAGATAGGTGATAGCTAGATAGATAGATAGATAGGAAAAGAAAAGAACAGAACAATAGCCATGTGGGCTGCCCATCCTGCCCATACCAGCTCCTGCCCTCGTGCTTCTTAGATTCCCATCAATGAGTATTGTTTTAAAGCAAATACTACACATCATGTTGTTTCATTTATAAATATTTTAGGATGTATCTTGAAAATAAGAGGTCTGTTTATAAACATCATGATATATTTTCAGGCCTTTAAAATGAACTACAACCCCTTGACATTACGAAGTATCCAGTCCATAATCAAATTTCCAATGACCCCGTGAAGGTCATCTTTGTTTGGACTTGTTTCTTTGAATTGGCCTCCAGGTGGGGCACCACGTTGCTGTGGTTGATATGTCTTGAGATCTGCTCATCTGTAGGTGCTCCTTTTCTCTTCCCCCTTTTGGTTTTTAAGTTGAAAATTTTTCCAAGAATTTGAATTGAGAGCCAACTTTACAGTGAGTTTTTCTTCCCTACTCTTTCGATCTGCCCTCCCTGCCAGCTGTTTTCTTTTCCCTTTTTCTCCCCTAGAGAGAGAAGCATCTTTTGCAGCAGGCCACAGGTTCATGCCTGGCCTCAAATGAAAACAGTTCTCCTTAAAGCCTTCTAAGGGTCCACTGAGGGTGTTCACAGACATTGCCTAGTTGCTCTTCGTGATTTGGCTGCCCAAAACCTCAGAGAAGCCCTCAAAAGCACTTCTGCGTTTCATTTCCTAGAATCAAAGATCTGGGTGGGAGCTGAGAGACGGATGACTCAGTTCTGCCCTCTCCTTGCAGCAGGAGAACGCTGAGTTCTCAGCGAAGGTGGTTGACTTGTCAGAGTGAAAGTAACCAGCTTAGTGCAAACTAAAGTTGAATCTAAGGCTCCTGATTCTGAGTCTGCTTGTAGTAGTTTTGGGAGTAGTTTTCTTTTTTAAGACCCTCACATTTAAAGCCAAGTTGCTTTGCACCAGTGTTTAATAATCAGAAAAGGGGATCGGATTGTTAATCTGTATTTTGTTTCTCTTTAACATAGAAAGTCCCTTTACAGATTCCTCCCATTAAGTGGGCTGAAGGACATAAAGGAGTATTTAATATAGAAGTGCAAGCCGTTTCCTCCGTTCACACCCAGGTAAGGAACGTCAAGGCCAGTCAATAATGAAGGTGGAAGTGCAGCAGAGAAGCCTTCCAAGGACAGGCTAATGAAGGATCAGTGCAAGTCTGTACCTATGGAAAGGTTCGGGGATTTCTCAGCCTGTTCAGGTTTCATTTGTCCTTGAAACACAAAGGCCTTAGGAAGATGTTGAGTACCTAAATGAAGGATCCTGCTACTGCTTTGTTGCTTGAGAACCTTGCAGGAAAACTTGATCTGAAGCACTTTTCGGCTGTTATCTTGTTTCTCTCTGTTCTTCTGCCAGTTTATCAACATTTTTTAAAAATCTGTATTCCCACTTTTTTTTGCCACTGTGTTATGCATCTGCTTAAACTCTTTCTGGCCACTGTTTCCCTGCTATGCTATAGACTGTGTCAAGGGCTAAATTAATTTTTCTATAGTAAATAATTATTGAAAAGTTCTATTTTGTGCACTGATTTCTACAAAGAAGTTTAATACCTCAGTCATCCATGACTTAGAACTGACCTGAACCCCAGGCTAAGAGGCTGTACCCATATACAGCTGTTTGATTGTCTTTATGAATCCGTGGGTGCACATTGGTGGGGTAAGACTCCATGAGGGTCTCCTGGCTTTTGCCTCCCCAGGACAGCCACCTGGAAAAGTTCTTCACCCTCTGCCACTCCCTGGAGAGCCGGGTGACCTTCCCCATCCGGGTACTGGACCAGAAGGTCCCTGAGAATATGCTGGAGCATGAGCTAAAGCTCAGCCTCATCTGCCTGAACTCCTCCCGCCTGGAGCCTCTTGTGCTCTTCCTGCACCTGGTGCTGGACAAGCTCTTCCAGCTGTCTGTGAAATCCATGGTCATCGCTGGCCAGACAGGTGAGGGCCTGCAGGGCTGGGAGGAGGTGGGGTGAGGCAGGGCAGGCAGACAATGCCCTGCTTAATGAAGCCGGCTTTCCAGAAATCCAGGGGTGATATGATCTTTCTTTGTACTGATAATGTGAACTCAAAAGAGGCCAAGTCCATTACTGTTTTTTGAAGAATTAATATACATCTAAAAAGAAAGGGAAAAAAAAGAAACATTTAAAATGGGATTCTCAATAGTATTGCCTTTTTTTTATAAACTACTGAATGACCACAAACAATCTTTCAAATTCCATTTCTGGTATCTTAGTTACTTTCTCATTCCTGGGACAAAATTCCTAACTCCCACAGTTAGATGAGGAAAGGTTTACTTTGGTTCACAGTTTGTAGAGGACTTAGTTCATAGTAAGCTGGCTCCAAGGCAAGGCAGCATGCAGAGTGGCATCACAGAAGAGAAACAGTTCATGACATGGCAGGCACAAAGCAGAGAGGGATCAAGGGAGGAGGAGGGATATTAACCTTCCAGGCCACATGCGCAGAGACCCACGTCCTCCCACCAGCCTTTACCTCCGAACATCACACCCAACTACAAGCCCATCAGTGGACTGGTCCAGTGATAAGTGTCACATACCTATGACCCAGTCACCTCCCAGGAGCCCTGCCTATGACTGCATGAGGCTTTGGGGGACATCCAGATATAGGCCATAATACCTGGTAATTGGTGGATTTATTTTCCAAGACATTTTTTGCCCATCAAAGCAGAAGTACTTGGTCTTCAAGCATTTGTTCAGAACCTACTCTGACACTATAAAGAGGCACAGTGGGAACAAGAAAGTATGAGAAATGTGCCTGGCCGGAGAAAGGTTCACAGAGAGATTGGGTTTACCACCAGGAACAGCTGCTTGAAAGGGAACAACCGTCGGAAAATGTTGAGTACCTAAATGAAGGAAGCTGCTCTTGCTCTGTTGCTTCAGTAAATCTGTAATTCAGCTTCCCTTAAGCCCTGTGCCGGAGGCTTTATGGAGGAGTTAGGGCTTGTGCTGGTTTTGTGACCAAAAGCAAGAAAGGCTGTCCACATGAGGACGACAGCATGAGCAAAGTCTCAGGGGAAGGAAAGTGCAGACAGGCAGTGGGATGGGCAGTGATGGTTGACTCACTGGAAGGAGAGGAGAGGGTTAGGGCTTGGCTCCCCGGAATAAGGAGGTCCGAACAGTGCACCGGTTGTTTGTACGGGGTCACCATGGAGAATGACATGGTACACAGTCATTTTAGATTAATCTGTAAAGAATCTGAGCTGTGCCGCAGCTCATCTCAAATGGTAGCGTGACCTCAAACCCCAGGCACGTCTTGTTGAAATACAGGTTGTGACTCAGCCCTTCTGGGGCGGCGCCTGTGAATCCACATTTCTACAGGCTCCTCGTGATACTGATGGTGTCAGCCTGCAGACCCCAGCGTGGGCCCGGTTACAGCAGGGTGTAGACAGGGAAGACGGCCGGCATGTCTTGGTCATGGAAACCCATTGCGGGGTCAGGTGGAGGAAGGTCAGCGGTCCATGGTAGGCAGAGCAGACCTGCTGGAGCTGGCTCACCCTCCCCTGCCCCGGGATCCCCCAGGCCCACTGGGCTGGGTGGTCACCGGTCCAGGCCCATCGTCAGCAGCTGGGACAGCGTTCACCTAAGGTTCGTGTTTCTCTTGGTTCCTCAGCCAACTTCTCCCAGTTTGCCTTCGAGTCTGTGGCAGCCATCGCCAGCAGCCTGCACAATAGCAAGGACCTGAGCAAGGACCAGCACGGGAGGAACTGCTTGCTGGCCTCCTATGTGCACTACGCTTTCCGCCTGCCGGAGCCGCACGGGGGCGCACCCAAGTCAGGTAGCGCCGACCCCGTGCCCGCCCCCCATGAAATGCGAGATCCAGCGGGGCCCTTGAAGGCTCCCTTGAACTATTCAGAATGCAGCATTTACACGCGTGCTGAGATTTTCTAGATTTTCTTCTTCCTCTTTCCTCTTTTTATGCTCTAAGCACTTATTTTGTTGTCGATTTGATCAATACCTCGGCGAGGTATTATTCCGTTGCCAATTTATGATTAAGCCGAGAATCTCTTTTCAAAATATGGAGAAGTGCGGACCAATGCCTAGCATCTGGGGACAGTAATGAGAAGGAAGGTGTATCCATAGGCACCGAGAGCAGTTAACTCCGAAGCCTTTCCTTATCGATCAGTGGTAATCACCTTTCTCATTTCCCCCAACTATACTTTTAAAACAGTTACAGTCTATTTTATTATTACTCTTAATCATTTATGTTAGGTAATAATGAACCAGACGGAACTTGTGGTCAGTGTGCTCTAAAAAGTAGCATCAATGAGACCACAAAATTCCGCACCCGAATAGACTTGGCACCTTATTAGTCTGGGTAGCCTGTTTCCTGTGAATTCCTTGTTTGTTTGTTTTGTTTTTTTTCTGGTACCAGGAATCAAACTCACAACCTTGTGCTTGCCAGGCAGGCGCTGTGCCGCTGAGCTAAATCCCCGGCCCCTCTCATGAATTTGTCACTTCAGCGGGGTTTTAAAAACCTGGCATAGACTCTTTTGGGAAATACATAAAGACTGAAAGATGAAGCACATCCTTACATTGATTGTAAATGCTTGTTCTCATAAGATTCAAATGACTACGTGGGTTTATGGATTTTTTTTAAATTTTAAGACCAGGTCTTGCTTAGTCACTAAGTTGTCCAGCCTGGGCTGAAACTTGTGATTGTCCTACCTCAGCCTCCCAGAGTAGTAGAATTATAGGTGTGTGCCACCATATCTGCCCAGCAACTCCATGGATTTCCAATCTCAGAAACCTTTCTCCATGACTTACAAAGTTATGATTATTTAAATGCTGATCTACTAAAAATATCCCCATAATTAGTTTTGCTTTAGAATTTAGAAGCCATGGCAACCCTGAGTTCTGTTCCTCCAGGGCAATAGTAGGCTGGAGCTAAGGTACATGTCTCCGGTTCACCCAGGTCTTACCACCCCTACCATCTCGTGCTCTGTCTGTGTTCCCAAGACACTGCCGCTCTGCCCACCTGACGCTTTTGATGAGACTGTCATGCCAAGAGCTCACCTCAACAAAGCGTGGTGGTGCTTACCTGTAATCCCAGCACTCAGCAGGCTCAGACAGGAGGATTGCCATGAGTTCGAAGTCAGTCTGGGCTACATAGTGAATTCAAGCCCAGCCTGAACTACATAGTGAGACCCTGTCTCAAAAATAAATAAATAAAGCTCGCCTGATAGGCTTTCACTCTACCCCCTGCCCCTCCTTTTCCTTTTCCAAGCTCTGTACATGACTCTGGTCCTCTCTGTTGACTTGTCTCTGCCTGGTGGGATGTAGGTGGCTCTGCCTCCCTGCCTAGCCCCGGCTATCACACGTATGGACGCACATCTGCTGCTGCTGTGAGTTCCAAGCTGCTGCAGGCCCGGGTGATAAGCAGCAGTAACCCAGACCTCATGGGGACACACTCTGCCACCGATGAAGAAGTTAGAAACATCATGTCTTCAAAGGTAGGGAACATGTCAAATCCTGGCAGTGAGGCACATTTTTAATTGTGTTTTTATTTTGAGTTGACATGTAAAAAGTATTCATAATACGGTACGGTGTGATGATTTGGTCCATGCATACATTGTGTGATGATTAAATCAGGATATTAGCTGGGTGTGGCCACTCATGCTTGTAATTACAGCACTCTGGGAGGCTGAGGCAGGAGGATCACAAGTTCCAGCCCAGCCTGGGCAAATTAGCGAGATTCTATCTCAAAAAAAAAAGAAAAACAGGCCTGGGGATATAGCTCTGTGCAAAATCTGCACTCAATCCCCAGTACCACCAAAAAAATATATTTAGTACATCCATCGCCTTGTACGTGTATCACTCCTTTGTAATAAGAGTACTCAAAATCCTCTCTTCTTGCTAGTTATTTTGAAATAGTCGCTATAGTGTCGTTTGCTATAATCACAATAAAACACAGAACTTGTTTCTCCCAACTGCAGATTATAAAGGCTTTTATAATTTTTTTAAAATAGAACTTGAAAACACAACACAAAAGTGACTACTGCCGCCGCCCATAGTGTCTGTCAGATGCTCAAGACTCAGCTCAAAAGAGCAACGTTCCTTTCTTTGGACTGGTGGGGGCCGGTCTGAGAGATGCGGTGGAAGGGCTGGCACTTAGGGTCCTGCTCAGACTTCCTTAACCCGGAGAGGAGATTGTTGCTGCGTAGCCGGTTGAGCCACAGGAGTCAATGAATCCTGTACATTGATACTCAAGGAGTCAACGAATACTGTACAATGAATACTCAAGGAAAAGTGGTTGGCTTTCCCTTTTCCTGATGGTTTTTTAGCATCTACCTTTTACATTCATTAACACCTCTGATTGATTATTCCATATAATATTCCTAACGAACAAAGGCACATTTTGTTTTTTTTTTTTTATTTTATTTTATTTTATTTTATTTTTTTTTTTTGGTTTTTCTCCGGTACCGGGAACCGAACTCACGACCTTGCGCTTGCCAGGCAGGCGCTTTTGCCGCTGAACTAAATCCCCAGCCCCCAAAGGCACATTTTGTAAACAATTTAAAACTGAGAATGTAAGAGGATCAGTGATTTGCCTGTTGCCTTACCTTCATATTTTTTTCCTTTTAAATATATTTTCCCTTTTATTTGACACATAGTAATTATACACACTTAGGGAGGACAGTCTGACAGTTCAATACCTCTATACAATGTATAATGATAAGATCAGGGAATCAAGGTAGTTGGCTTGTCTGTCACCTCAGATATATCATTTCTTTGTGTTGGTAATATTCAGAATCTTCATACCACGGCAATATACGCATGCCTATGTTTATAGCAACACAATTTGTAATAGCTAGATTTTGGGAACAACCCAAATGCCCATCAACTGAAAAAAGATGTGGTTTTTTTATATAATGGAGTACTACTCAGCCATTTAGAAGGATAAACTCGATACTCTTACAGGTAAATGGATGCAACTTGAGACCATATACTTATAAGTGAAATAAATCAGGCTCACACATATAAACCTCATATTGTCTCCCTGGTGTGAGAAACTGAAAGAATAAATAAGATCCAAAATGAAGAAACTGCTCAAAAGAAAAGAGAAACTATGATGGGGGAAAGGGAAAAGGAAGGAAGGGAAAAGGAAAAAAAAAGTATATATATATATATACAAGATATTTAAGATAGTTATAGAGCTAGTTTCTCTTAGTTCATTGAAAAGAAAGGCTTGTGCTAATATTGTTTGGACAATATTTCATGCCTGTACCTTGTACTCTGTATAACTACTATGGAGATAACAATGCACAATGTGTTAATTATTGTTACCCTCCTACTAGCCTGTTTTGAAACTCTGGTTTATGATTATTATTTTTGCTTTAAAATAAAAAATATTGAAAATCTTCTCTACTAGCTATTTTGAAATATTCTATTAGTTATTCATAGTCATAACTATCATTCTGTGCTAAAGAACATGAGAAGTTATTCCTCCTACCTGTGTATTCATGTACACATGAACAATCCTGTCTCCCACACACACACACACACACATATATATTCACCCTTCCTTGGATCTGGCAATGGCTACTCTGTTCTCTACTTTTTGCGGTCACCCTTTTAGCCTCCACATGTAGGTGAGAATATGTAGCATTTGCATGTCTGCACCTGGCTTGTTTCACTTCACATAATGTCCAGTTCCACCTGTCTTGCTACAAATGACAGTATCTTATTCTATAAATGGGTGAATAGTATTCCAGTGTGTATGTGTACTGTGTTTTTGTGTCTTCTTTATCCATCCATTCATATGTCTGTAGACACGTAGGTCAACTCCACGTCTTCGTGTTATGAACAGTGCTACAGGAAATATGGGAGTGCAGATGTCTATTTCCTATGTCGGTTTCACTTCCTTGGGGTGTATACCCAATAGTGGGATTGCTGGGTCAGATGGCAACTTCACTGCAAATTCCATGAGGACCCTCCATTCTGTTTTTCATAATAGCAATATTCATTTACATTCTCATAACAGTTTGTGAGAATTCCCCTTTCTCCAAATCCTCACCAATGTTCATAACTTTTTGTTATGAATAACTTTTTTGTCTTTTTGATAGTAACTTTTTGTTCATAACTTTTTGTCTTTTTGATACTAGCCCTTCTAACTGAGGTGAGATGTTATCTCATGGCGGTTTTCATTTCAATTTCCATGCTGAATAGTGATGTTAAGCATTTTCCCACATATAGTACTTGTTGGCTGTTCTTTTGATAAATGTCACTTTAGGCCATTTGTCTTCATTTTTTCGCGATAAACTTTCATTTTTAGCACAGTTTTATGTTGATATAATTATTGCAAGTATAGTCCATAACATTTTTATATACTCCATACAGTTTCCCTGTTGCTAATGTTTTACATTAGAATGGTACACCTATCACAATTAATGAACAAATATTAACCTAAGTTCAAACTGTATTCATATTTTCTCAGTAAGTGTCCGGGGATTTTTCCTTAATGTCTTCTTTCTGTTCGGGGATCCCATCCAGGGTAGCACATGGCATCTTGTAGTTATGTCTCCTGAGGCTCATCTGCAGGTATCAGTTTCTTGACTTTCCTTGTTTTCATGACCTGGATAGTTTTGGGGAGTAACAGTCAAACACATTGTAGGATGATTCTTACTTGGAATTTTTTGAAGTTATAGTATAATTCATATTTCATAAAATTTACTCCTTCAAGTGGTTTTTAGTACATTCGCAAAGCTCCCATGTCCTCAAAACTTGAATCTCCCCCCCCAGTTATCTGTGGCCTTGTCCCCTGATTAGTAAGACTCAAAGTCTCTAGGTTTAGGCATAGTTCCCCTTACAAATTCCACCGATGTGAGACCTTGTGATACAAGGAGGAAAGAGCTAAGTTGGGCTCTGGGTGCTGAGACTACCTAGCAGCGTGGCCCTGGGCAGGTCATTTACCTGCCTGGGCCTCTGTCTTCCTCACTACATAGGTTCTGACTGCTGGGTGACCCTAAGAACTATCTATGGGTTGTTAAAGGTATGCGATCCACTCCTGGAAATTTTGATGGACTATAGGTTGAACTATATGAAATTGTTGATATTCTATCCTTTTCATTTACAACATCAACCAGGGGGCTGGGAATTTAGCTCAGCGGCAAAAGCGCCTGCCTGGCAAGTGCAAGGTCGTGAGTTCGGTTCCCGGTACCAGAGAAAAACCAAAAAAATAAAAAAAAAAAAAAAAAAAAAAAAAAAAAAAAAAACATCAACCAGCACGTGCTGGAGCTACCTCAGACCAGTTTCTGAGAGGTGATCGATAAGTTTTCAGGAATTTCTGTGCCAGTTGTGAAACAGACATTATTAGAAATTAAATTATATAAACTTACATTTAAATAATTTGTATCAAAAGGAACAGAAGTCAGTACAGTGTGGTATCCTGGATTATATCCTGGAACAAAAATAGGTTATTAATAGAAAAAGTGATGCTATCCAAGTAAAATCTGTAATTGAGCTCATTGTAATCTCCCAACGTTAACATCCTCATTTGGCAAATGTGCCGTACGATATAAGGTGTTAATATTACAGGAAGCAGGGCAAAGTGGATAGAGCTACTGCTTCTGTGTCTTGTCTGTAAATCCAGTAAGAATAACTATAAATAACCATTCCAGTATTAAAAGTTTACTTTGAAAAAATAGTTTTCACAACTCATCCCTCATAATTGTTTTACTATAGTTTGTTATTACCTGTGTTCTCGAGTTTATTGGTGTATATTATATCTGTGTGGTAGAAATACAATATAATGGTGTGGCCTGTATTGCCATGACATTATGGTAAAAAATCGAACTCAGCCCTGATGAAAGGATTTTCAGCGCAGAATTGACAAATGTCACGCGCGAGGCCCCTCCCCGGGCAGACAGGGTTGTTAGATATTTGCCGCACACAGTGCTTCAGCTTCATATTTCAAGTTTCTTTAAGCAATACCCTTGTTCCGATTGCCTAAAGAACAAGGGATCTGTGGCTATTACAGCCTTGACCGTTGTAGTTTCCTTTCCTGAAAATGAGAATATTAACTGTCTTTGTGGACTGGTTTAACATTTTTCTAGTTATTTTGTAGGAAGGAGAGAAAATTTTGTCCAACCAAAAGAAAAGAGCATGCCCTTTCCTTTCAGAAGTGGTTCCCCACAACTTGTTCACGTTGAGACTGAGTACAATACCAGACTAAACCACAGAGAGGCGCTGTGTCCACCTTTTTTTAACTGCTCCTTCAGTAAAGTCCAGATTTAAGAACGTTGAAGGGATTATTCAGGGCCTCATTCTTAACTGGTGTTTAACTATAGGTTGTTACATATCAAACTATTAATGGTGATTATTTCAGGAGCAAGTGAAATTCATGTGTGAATTTACCTTCTTTGTTTTATATTTCTTTGTGGCAGTTATTTTTTACCTTTGCAACCAGAAAAAAATAAGACATATAATAAAAGTATATTGTGAAGTGATGATTTTCAGCTTTCAGGGTATCATTATCAGCTGAGTGTTAAGTCCCGGCTTGTATGTTTCAGGCTGTTGATCGCAACTGCAGCCGGATGTCTTACTATTGCCCCGGCAGTAACGATGCTCCAGGTTCAAGTGCGGCCCCGAGACCAGCCAGCAAAAAGGTACAGATAATCCCATGACAAGAAAGGAGTTGCCTGTGCGCTTGCATGAGGAGTGAAAATAGATACTATCCAAGCTCTTTCTATCTTTTTCCTGCCCAAGTAACACACACATACACATATTCATAGCCCTGCGCTTTAGCCCCCATTTTTGACCGTCTAGTTGTCCCCCATGAAGGATTCTTAAAGCTGATTGCTGGACCCTAATTTCAGAGTTTCTGATGCAGTAGATCTGAGGAGGGGCTCAAGAATTTATATTGCTAATAAGCTCCCATTTTATTCTGCTCCAGTGTTAGCGCCTGGAGCTAACACTTTGACAAGCGCTACACTAGCTTTTCTTTTAGTTTAAGTTGAGCTGAGGCCAGTTCTTCTTTGACAAAAGTAAGTGGCAGTAATTAGGTATCAGTTGTGTCAGTGCTATATAAAATAATATTAAATTTTTCCTCATAGTTCTGTACAATCAGCTCTACCTCTGGGTTCAGAAACTTTGTAAGGTGTGTAATTTCTTTAGCCAACAAAATCCCCTAATCATTATCACAGCCCAGTTACAGGACAGTAAGACAAGCTGAGAGTAAGGGGCAGCAGGACAAGAGCTGTCTGTCAAGCCAGCTGTCTGCCCAGCTTTCCCTTCTGCCAGGCGCCCCCGCGTCTTATTGTGGTAGCTGCTGAAGGTTTTGCTACCTACTAAATAACATGGAAGCCATTTGCAACAGTTAGCACCACAGGGAAATATTCATTGAACAGGCAAGTAGGGGATGAATCTGCGCACAGCTTCCTGTGGGCTGGAGGCGGGAACGTGGAGTGCAGGGAGCATTGCCCGGGCCTGGGCTGCAGGCTTGGCAGTAACCAAGGCATCATATGTTGGAGAGAAGCAGCAGGAGTTAACTAGAAAAGGAAAACTGAAAGAAGATGTTGTCTGGCTAAAAACTAATTTCTCACTTACCCTTAGCATTAAGCTGCCACAGTCCCCTTGTAGTAACTGGTTACAGGTATCACTTTCCTTCTTAAAAACCATTATTTGCCTGCAGTCTGACTTCCTTTAGGCATGTCCTGTTTGGTTTTGCAACTGCCTCATTTTGACCTGAAATGACCAGGAGAGAATCATTTAATTTCAGGGGTAAGGTTAGCCGGAGTGTTTGCTTTATAGCTCAGCAAACACTGTTTTGCTGCTTGGCTATTTTATATAACCTCTGGAGCAAGGTGTTCTTGTAATAATGCTGCCCAGTAAGCAGCATAAATTACTTTAAGAAGCAGCTTATCCTTGTCTAATCTCTTCCTGCCACAAGACTCTGGCAGTCAAACTGACCTATTTCCAGAGGCCGCCGCTGAAGTGGGCGCAGCACGCCTTTCCTACCAGGGGAAGATGGAGGTGCAGCCAGGTTATATCATGCACACAGTGTCTCAGCAGCTACAGCGGGACCTTGCATTAGTGATGATGGAAATTAAACCTAAAATAACAGTGTGAGTTTACAGGCAAAAGCTTTAATTAGGAAGAGAAAGTAAGGACTGCAGCTTGAGTAGCTGGAGGGGGAACATTCTGACAGAGAGGGTCAGGCTGGCACACTAGTGAAGCAGAAAGACAAGTGTAACGGTGTGCTTGGGGGGTGGCTGGCATCTACTCAGTCATTTTTTTTTCTGTCCTAGTTTCATAGCTCAGGTAGAGTCCTCATGACTTGAGGGACACTCTCAGGTGACCATAAGTCTGGGGCAATGGAGACTTCTGGATGTGAGCGTTCTCAGTCTTGAAGGGCAGTGAGGTAGGCTGGGTAAGTGTAGGGCTAATAAAGTTGATTCACCAGCTTCTAGACAAACACACCCTACATGACTAGCATGCCCGTGTGCCGAGCTGAGAAGGAGTTGACCCAGAGTTTTACAAAATGAAAGGCAAGTTTGTTCTACTTATAGTTTCCTGTTGGGCATTTGTAGGCCCAAGTAAAAAGCCACAGTTTTTAACCAAAATAATTTTTGTTTAAACCACTTTTAAGTCCTTGTCTATCTTAGAGGAAAACACAAAGTATGCTCTAATGAGTAATGGGTTAAAGGGCCCAGGAGTTTGTTTGTTCTCTGTCCTTAGAGTGGTCTCTGGCTGTGTCATCTTGATTACCTCCTAAATTAAAATTCAACCCCAGCCGGCAGAACCTCACATAAGACACAGCAGGAGACAAGCATGTTGACATGTTATAATAAGGTTATTAGTCTGGCCTACTTAACAAAATGCAGTGAATCTGACAGATGAGCTAACCCAGCTGTGATGTAAGTAGCTGCAAATACCCAGACATCTGACAGAGCTTTTCCTTTTTTCTCCTTTTAGTTTAGTTTACCATGAAAGGTAAATGTTTTGAATCAATTCAGAACACCTAAGATAACCACAATAGTGCAACTAAAGACACTCATGAGAGGACTTCCAGAGCTGCTTCAGAAAGCGGCAAGAATGGTGGAATAACTGTATTTGAAGTAAAGGAGGGTATTTTGAGGGGAGATAATAGCAACACATCTTTTATTATAATAATTATTTTTTAATTTAAACATTTACTCTATTTTTTGATCATCCCTTGGAAGCAGGAATGATTGAACTTTAACATCCATAAGAAGTAGTAAATCGAGCTGCATATATACTGCATTCACTGGTAACTCAAAGGATTGTCAAGAACAGTCTATTAATCTACAATTAATTTTTGCTTCAGGTTCACTTAAAAGCTTCGCCTCCACGTAATGATGGTCATAATCACTGAACAATAAAGAATAAGTTTATCTGCATTTATTCTAGGTTTTATAGGGTAGGAGAATGACAGCCACAGAAAATTCCCAGACAAAATGTTTGCCTTTAGTTAGTATGACCAGTCCTGCTAGCTTGCCCAGGACCGAGGGGGTCCCCAAGATGCAACACTTTTCATTTGGGGACTAAGACACTATCAGGAGACTGAGATGAGTTGGTAGCCCTTAGTCCTGGCCTTGAACTTCTCCATCAAAACTATTGTCAAAACCATTAACAATTAGAGAGAAACTGAAAGATGGGGAAGACAGTAAAGGTAAAATTCACTATCTGCTACATGTGCTATCTGCTCTTCAAAGTGACTTGAAAAGAAGTAGAAATATAAAGTGGAGCTTAGGGATTTTCCAAGCACCTGACCCTGGGACACAGAAATTTAGAAGTTGTAAATCCAGGCCGATACCACTAAGCCCGTTCATGCAGAGGTTACACTCACAACCCAACCAGTCACATTTTCCACATGCGGCCAGCGTGAGATTACACAAACAACTGTCGCGACCAAAGGCGAGTTTAAATACCTTTTAGACAGTGGCCTTCAAAGTGTGACACTGGACTAGCGGCATCAGCTCCCGCAGAAGTACAAATGGTGGAAGTGCAGAGGCTCAGCCCCTGCAGGTGTGTTTCACCAGGCCCTCCTGGCGGCTCTGATAACATTCAAATTTGAGAACCACTGTGACTGACCAACCAATTTTATGGATGGGAAAATGGAGGGCAATGAGAAGAGCTTGCACACAGTCAGACTATGTGGCCGCTGCCTAGCATGCCTGTTAGAGGCACCACTTGTTCTGACTGCTGCTGTCCCCTAAGTACAGTTTTCTCATGCTGAGTCAACTGCTTCAAACCTAGCTCTCCAGCACAGTACCAACACCAGCCGTCCCCTGCCCACCTAAATGTCCTCCAGCTTCAGTATTTCAGCACCGACTTTGCTATCCCCCATGTACGAGCCAGGACACATGCTTCAGGAGCTAACTGTTAACTTTGGGGAAAAGAAAAGAAATGTTGGTGCCTCCTGGCCTTGTTCTCACCTGGTTTTGTGGTTGTTGCTCAGCATTTCCACGAAGAGCTTGCCCTGCAGATGGTGGTCAGCACTGGGATGGTGAGAGAATCCGTCTTCAAGTATGCCTGGTTCTTCTTTGAGCTTCTGGTAAGATTCTTGAGTATCTGTATCAGTAAGACAAGAAAAGCCATGGTAGAAAGGCACTGACGTGTCCCATATCAGGAATTAACACCTTGACCGCTGAGTTGTTCCTGTTACAAATCTGGGATTATTCCTTGAGATCTCCCTGAGCCCTCCATCCATCTCCCACCAAATCCCACTGAGCGTACCTTGAAAATCTACTTCCAAGCTATCACATCTTATCATGTTCCCACCTGGCCAAGCCATCACCATCGCTTATACACCACTTGCAATAACTTCCTTTCTCTCTCCTGTGTCCAGTTTTGACGGCAACCCATGTGTCCTGCACAGAACAGCCAATAGTACACAGCTAACGTCACTCTTTTATTTCAAACTCTTCAACAGTTTTCAGTGTACTAGGAGTGAACTTTTTTTTAATCATGGCTAAAAGCCTTTGTATGATTCCCTTCCTTACCTCCTTCTGTCACTGCATCTCATGCCATATTCCTTCCTCATTCGGCCATATTGTTCCCCTTTTAGTTCTGTAGAGGTACCAAGCTCTTGTTCGGCCTCAAAGCCCTTCATGGGTTCCCTCCCTACTTCCTACCATTCACTCCTCCCCCAAACACACTCGGTGTGTTCTCTTTGGTTTCAGTTTAAATGTCACCACTGTATGTGGTGTGTCTTCCACTTTATTATTCCCTTTTATTTTTTTAAATAGAAGCGTGGTAGTGAGACACGCGCCCTCTGCTGTGGTAGGAAATGGACTGGTTATAACACCTAATCCTCTCTTTGTTCTTGAGGCATGAGAAGTATTAGAACCAGTGCTCCGTATGCTGTGTGTCTTACTTCTGTTTACCCATCCCACTCACCATCAAGCTTCTCCATAAGGAAGATTTGCTGTGTCAGGAGCCATCTATAAATAATTCAGACAAACACAGTAATCCTGAGTTCAGCCATCAAAATTGCAGATTAAAAATTAAGAGCAAAAACTAAATTTGATCTTGTAGGATCTCCTAGAAGAAAGTCCCAAAGGAAAAGTGTTTCAGTTCAAAGAAGTTTTATATTATTCGTTCATAAACCTGCACATATTTCACATAATCACTCTTAAATCTTAATACTTAAATCCTCTAAGTACTGTGCTGTCATTGTTCAATTGGTTAACCAAATCCCTTAGACGGCGGTTCTCAAACCCTGCTATGTGAGGGTCCCAGTGGCAGCTCTAGGGGATCATAAATACATCCTTGAAGTCTCGCAATGTCCTGTCAGAGATAATGGTTATCCCTGTAGCACACACACCAAGGTTAGGGAGGGATTTATCAGCCTACTCGGCCAGTAAAGGCCAGAGCTTCTCTAACTCCCAGACCAGCTTCTTTTCCTTCACCATTTTGCCTTTTTGGGAAGCTCAAAGTTGTAAAACATTTTCTCAGCTTATAGTATTGACAACATACAAAGTCCTTGCAGTCAGAGATTAACTTTAGCTCCAGACATGGTGGCACATGCCTGTAATCCAGGGACTCAGGAGACTGAGGCAAGGATCACTGCAAGCTCAAGGCTAACCTGGGCTACACAGTGAGTTCAAAGCCAGCCTGGACTATATCATGAGATCCTATCTCAAAAAAAAAAAAAAAAAAAAAAGAAGGAAAGAAAGAAAGGAATTAATGGGGGCTGGGGATTTAGCTCAGCAGCACAGAGCTTGCCTGGCAAGCGCGAGGTTGTGAGTTTGATTCCCGGTACTGGAAAAAAACAAAAGAATTACGAAATTAGCTTTATGCAGGCTACCATTGTCGTTCCCAATCACATGAACTCCGTGCTCCTCAGCCCTGGTGGTTCCTCATGGCAGCCCAGAGCTGTGCTGAAGGCAGGTTTGCGTTCTCAGCAGGTGTAACCATGGCTCCGTCCTTTGTATAATCCCGGTAACAGCTGGCATCCCCGAGGAAGGGAAAACAATAACACCCAAAGTGTATCGAACATCCTACTGTGTATGTACCAAGCCCGGCTTTGAGCATTTTAAAGCATTTAATCCTTGCATAACCTCAAGACAGGAGTTTCTATGATTTCCATCTTACAGACTGGGTTGGAAGAAGGGTGGTAGCCATGAGGAAGGTCTCCCACGCTGCCAAAGGCTTCCACAGTGCTGCTTCACTGTCCCTAACTGCAGGAAGCTCAGACCATGGAAAAGGTGAAAGTTGCTTTTGATCTTACACATTATATTCACTAGGACTTGCTGGCCCAAAGAGAAAGAAAAAACTAACCTTCCTCACCTCCCGGGAGCACTTTGGGTCAAGTGGGTGACCCAAAGCTGGGAAGAAAGCTGCTAACCTAAGCACTTCGATGGGGTGGGTCAACACGCAGATCAACCAAGTCAGTAGGGCTCTGCAGGCTGTCACCTCACCGTCGGAGTCCTACAGGACAGGATTAGCGCTGCTCATGGGGTTAAGTGAAAAGCACTTGCCAGGAGGTTCCTGCCCAGGTGTATGCAAGGTGACAGGGGCCAACAAGGATTAGTGAGGCACCCAACATGTAGCAGCTGCCAGAAGCTTTTAGCCCTGTGAGCTTTAAAGAACTGAGGGGAGAGAGTAGTACAGTGGGGACCTGGAGGAGGCTGGAGGGGAGAAAAAGAACCCTGTGACAAGAGCAGGAGCCTCAGAAAAGCATTGCTAGAACCGCACTGTGGCAGAGGCAACAGCCGGACGAGTGACTAAATGCCCAGACCTCTCTGTTTCCCACCCGCTGGCCAACTCCCCGCAGAAACCAGAGGGGGGCGGGGCCCAGTGGTCTGTGCAGAGACACCGCAGCGGAGGACAGAGAAGGTAGGAAATCCGTCCAGGGACTGTGGTAGAGGCGAATGGAAACGATGTGCCCCAGCGAGGGCTGTGTGAGGAAACTGATCTCAGACATCATCAGAATGCTCAGCCCGCCATGCAGTGTTACATAGCCACCCGGACTGATGCCCAGGAAGCTATTTAAAAATGAAAACGGGCCTCCCCACAGAAGCTTGAAGACAAACAACAGCCTCCTTGTGCTTAGCCAACAACCTGGGCAGTTTAACACCCTTCAGTTGTGCTTATGGCCAGGTGCTAATGAACCAGGACTTTGTCAGCAGAGCTCTTAGGCACAACCCTTGGGTGAGTTTCACACTTGCTGATGAATAAGCCCCTGTGCTTCAGGATAACACCAAGCCAGATTTCGGAGACTCCGAGGTAAATGGGTGACCTAGTTCACTCACTCGGGACATGGAGTTCTGCTCTAAGGGGTTCTTGAAATGTATCCCTCCTTTGAATGGGGCATAAAAGCCAGTATGGGAGAAAAGACTGTCCTGTGTCACCCCATCGTGCGAATAATGGGGCAGGCATCCACTTGCATTTCTGCTGAGCGTTCTTCTCTGGAGACCAGGGACGCAGTAGCTGGCAGGTTGCAGATGGTCTGGAACGAGGCCATGAGTTGGAAGTACGGTATTGTGAGAATTATTTATTTGCTTGTAGGATGGCCAGACTCTGCAGGCAGAAGCCAAATGCAGCAGTGAGTTGTAAAAACCCAGGGTGGGTTAGGAAACACAGAATAAGGGTTGAGGTTGCCAGAACAAAGAGGCCTTGTCTTCTTAGGTCCATCGGTGAGGAGCATAGGGAGAAAGATGCTTTTACCAAACAAAAGAACAAGAACATGGCGTCTGGTTCCCATCGCTCATTGAGATCCTTCCTCCAAATGTGTGTGGCTCCCTGGGCTGTGTACCTGTCCTGTGTCCTAAAGCAGATAGGACCCTGGGGCAAGGAGAAACCATGGTTCTTACACTAGATTTTCTGTTCCTCAGTCTTCCCCAAGCTGGCATTTTCTCAAAACACAAAACACAGAACACTTAAAGACTACCTCTTGTTTTTCTCTTATTTGCTTTCTCTTCCTGTCATTGCAAAAAAAAAAAAAAAAAAAATTTGCCAGTCCTGCATTCAAAATAGAAATCTGCTGTTAGTGCATAAAAATTCTCCCAGATAATTTTCCAGAGTGGAAGTCAGTTTCCACACAGCTGTCCAGCCCTGACCTGGGGGCAGATGTGGGTGAGTCGACTTCCAGGGCTATTTCTCTTCTTGATGACTGACTAGCCTGGACGAGTTCATAAGGATGAGCTCAGAGGGCAGGCACGCAGCCGCAGGAATGTTGTCTTCTCCACCAGACTGTTTCTGATAGCTCTCAGCAGCTTCCAACCAGGATAACACTCAACCTCTGATGATGCAGAAGTGAATCGTATGGGGTCATGAATCCCCTGGCCTCAGAAGAAGTCCAAAACATAAGTGTGGTCTGTCGTTTAAATTGTGGTAGGCATTGAGCTGGTGTTACATGATTCATTAGATGGAAAGATAGATAGCTAGATAATAGCTAGCTAGCTAGCTAGATGATAGATAGATGCATACATATATATACACACATACATGCATACATGGTGGATCAATCTGCAAATTAGGCTGACAGAAGTTAAAATACAGTTTCTGCTAGGGGCGGTATCCTAAATAGTGGATCACTTTCCAGCTAGCCAACAAAATCTTGCTCAGCCCATGCTACAGCTTAAATTTACAGAAGCAAAAATAACCTATGAACTGCTTCTGAAAAAACTATGTTCTGTGTTTCAGCTTGAAACCTGAAATAGGAAGAGCATTCCTGGTCTCCTTCCTGTAGTTTCAGGAGCAGGAAAGATTTCAGGTCCCACTCCAGACAGTCTCAGAAGCATTCTCCCGTGTGTCCTGCGTCATTGCTGTGACACAGTGCTGGCTCCGTGGTCGCCTCTGCTTCCTGATGGAGGCCACTGAGGAAAGGGGAGTCCACTGACACTGGGGCTAAAGAATCAAGCTCCTGGCTTTGTTGGCCCCAACAAGGGAGCCCCTAGACTTGGGGTCAGGAAGAGGACACCCTTCCCACCTCCTGCCGCCATGGCAACCATCTGTGGGCCTCAGGCATTTTCTAGTCCTACAGCCAGCTTGGGCACCACCAGCACGGATAGTGTCAGAAAGTCCGCTGTGAAAGAGCTTTTCCTCAGGTCGACCCCTGTTTTACACATTGTGCAATCAGGTCGCCAGTCTCTGTGCTGACGTCTCTCCCACCCGGCTGTAGGTGAAAAGCATGGCCCAGTATGTGCATAACCTGGACAAATCGGACAGTTTCCGGAGGACCCGTTTTTCTGACCGCTTCAAAGATGACATAACTACCATTGTCAATGTGGTCACCTCGGAGATTGCAGCCCTGTTAGTGAAACCTCAGAAGGTAACTGTGTCTCTTACTCTTAAATTTCTAGACTGTTTACTTTGAACATGTTACTTTCATAAGCAGAGAAAAACAAGCATCACTTAAAAATAGTACTTAAAATATAACCATATATAATCATTAACATCAATGTGGCGGCCGGGTACATAGCTCAGTGGCACAGCACCTGCCTGAGTTCGATTCCTGGTACCCAAAAATAACTAAATAATAAACAAACAAAAGCAATATGGTATACTGGACTGAACTCTGGGGGCTGGGGAGTTGCCATAAAGAAATTGCAAAAAAAAACCAAAAAACCAACTACTGTATATTGCAAACATACATTAATTTTTAAAAAGCACAAAATATGCTCAGAAGACTTAAAAGAAATTGCCATATGATCATCTAAGTTGTTACATCAATGACAATATGAGAAAAGATACTCTGTTCTTAGGAAACACATCCTGAAGTATTGTGAAGTAAATAGGTACCATATTTGCAGCCTACTTTCAAATGCTTCAGAAAAGAGTTTGTATGCATAGAGAGAGGGAATGATAATAACAGTGAGGTAGCAAAATATGGATGCATCTTGTTAAAGGATACACAGGAGTTCTTGGAACTATCCTTGTACCTTTTCTGTAAGTTTGAAATCGTTTCTTAAGAAAAGTTTAAAATATATAAAGGGAAATAAAATTTTAAAATGTAGAGATAAGTCTAATACTTTAGGGAGCAAGGTTTATTATGTGCATCTCTGTCCTTATTAAGAATTAGTATAGTACCAAGTGCCCAGGAGATTCCTATTTGCTTCTTTCTCATGGCAGACTTGGTTAGAACACCAGTGTTGTCTTCATATTGGCAGGTATGAAAATAAGTAAGGCTAATAATTTTTTCAAAAGCCACACAGCTTGCAGAAAAGCCAGCCTGGAGGTTCCCCGCACAGACGTTCACACAGTGAGGGGAACTAGCCCAGGGAGCACCCAGGTGGACATGCATAGGCTCCAGGACTTCTCAGAGGTGCTGTGGAAACGCTCGATCGCGTCTCCATCCATCCCCCACTGGTCAGCTTGGCCTGAATTTGCAAATTGTGCTTCAGACCAAGAGGAGCATAGTTTTAAATTATGTTCTCAGTCATGTCAGTGGACACTGATTTGTTATTCTGAGAATGAAGAACTCACACATGAGAAGGTGAATCTCTGATGGCTCTGAAGTACTATAAAATCCCTCATGAATATGAGCAATGAGAATTAATAAAATTAAAGAAAAAAACTCTGGTTCCATTTCATGTAAAAATGCACACTGCTGAATCTGAGTCAGGTGCTTCTTAGGCTAGAAGTGCTGCTTAACTGAGGGGAGAAAATTCCTTAGGTAAAGACTGATTCTTTGATCCTATATGGAGTTTATGCAATAATCCTTAAGTCTGAGCTGTGTATGGTGGTTATCCCTGTAATCCCAGCACTTTGGGAGGCTGAGGCACAAGGCTAGCAAATTCAAATGCAGCCTGGGAAACCTAGCAACTTAACCAAGACCTTGTCTCAAAAAAAATTTTTTTTAAACAATGGCTTTTATTTATTTTTTAGCTTTTTGAGACCGGGTCTCACTATGTAGTTTAGGCTGGCCTTGAACCCGTGGCAATCCTCCTGCCTCAGCCTCCCAAGTGCTGGGATTACAAACATGCACCACCATGCCCGACAGCTCAAAAATCTTTCTGGAAACCATTTTTTAAAGGACTGAGGATGTCACTCAATGAAAAGGCCCTGAGTTCACTCCTCAGTATCACAATCAATCAATAAATCAATTAATCTAAATTTAGAAAAAAAATCTGTCTTACTGAAGACAGAAAATACATTTCAAGTTACTTTGTTCCCCAAAACAAAGGAAAACAAATCAGAACCCAACTTTTTACATAGAAGATGAGCTCAATTGTATCCATACTAAGAAAAAAAAGTGACCAGAACAAAGTATACCTGAATACTCACAGTGTATAAGGAATTACCTGACTCAGTGTGACACTCAAGGTGTAAGGTAAGCACGAAATTATATTTGCTACAGTTTTCAGACTTAAACTGCTTCACCCAGAGGGACAGTGGCTGATAAAATAGGACCTGCCTCTCCCAGTGTTCCCACCATGGGACCTGGGAGTTCATGTCCAAGGCTCACACACAGCAATTTGTATGTTTGTTTTTAAGGAAAATGAACAAGCAGAAAAGATCAACATCAGCCTGGCTTTCTTCTTGTATGACCTTCTGTCACTCATGGACCGTGGCTTTGTGTTTAACCTCATCAAACATTATTGCAACCAGGTGAGTGTTCCTGGGACCTGTTTCTGGGGTTCCTTTACTCTGACTTGCTGCTCACCCTCACAGTGTGCTTGCTTCCTTGTTCACTGGCACAATAGCAGATCCTGGGCCTTTTTCTCAGCAGAACACTGTCCGGTGGCTTCTGGGTGAGGAGCCACTGTCCGGAGCAGCAGGGTACCCCCAGGGGAGAGGGACTAGAGAAGGTTGCATGTCTTGATGGTGTTCTGCAACACACTGCAGCACAGTTTGAAGGCAAATTTAAAACTAAATGTCCTTTCTTACCAACAGGAAACCACTGTCCACTGAAATTTCATGAGACCTGCAAAGCAGTCAGGTGCTCCGGTGCTAAAAATCTGCTGATCTGAACTAATTTCAAGTAATTGAATGTGCAGAGATTGAAGTTTTGTGTGAACTAACGGGGTGGGTGTGAGTCTGCAGTGATAACGGAGGCTGTCCTTGACTCATTTACACCACACCCTTCCCTAGAGGCTACCCTCGTAAAGAGCAGAATAATAAAAGAGAACCCTAAGGCGGTTCCAGAGGTGCTCCATCCTGTGCAGGATCTTCTGTTCCCAGATCCTTCCGAGCAGATCCCTCCGAGCAGATCCCTCACTCCTCTCTGCCCTCCTTTCAGTTTAGGATTCCAGGTCCCTGGGTGAATCTCAAATACAAGTTCGTCTGTTTCCAAAACATTGGCTGTTTGGGAAAGAGATCCTGGAACATCACTACAGACCCCCACGCTGTGGGCAGTTTTCATTTCAAAAGGGAAATAAGCAAACCACCTGCTCTGCAAAACGCACATTTTAATTTTTTCTTTCACTGTCATTTTTTTCTTGCTCACTCTCTTTTAAATTCTTTCCTTTTATGTTAGCTGCCTACTCTTTTTTTCTTCCTCTGTCCTGCCTCAGCTTCCAAAGACCCCCAGACCACGGGCCTAGAGACCTATGTCCTCACCCAGTGATGCCATTTTCCTCTGTGCTGGGGGCATCAGCCTCCCAGGATCGGGTTTCCTTCTCTGCATAAAAAACAAGACGGGGTTAGACTTATCCAGGCTTTGACACCCAGATGTGTGCTTTGTGTCTGCTGGTGACATCAAGGTTATTGCTTAATACCGGTGAGGTACTCTAGTTTAGAAAGGTCACTGATCCCAGGCCGGGGTGGCTTCATTTGTGGGATTAACTTCATCCCTGAGGCAAGTGACATTCATCCAAAGTCCTCTGATTTTATCATTCTGCATACCTGACTCAAACTACTGTCCTGCTTCTACCATTTAAAGACTTAGTGGTAGTAGCTTTAACCTTAGCCTTTTCTTAATAGTCATTAACAACAGATCTACTTCATCAGTCATTCTGTGAGTCTTACAGTTAAGTTAAATTAACACCTCTCTCTGGAGGACAGCTGCTGGGGCTGCACCATGGTCCTGACCTTTGGGGAGGATGTTTCCGGCACTGTACCTTGTTCCTCCTTTCTATTCATCACTCAGTTTTTGAAATTTCTGTCTTTAATGTCTCAGAGGGCTTGGGAGATACCCACAGCAGGGCCTCCTTTCACACAAACATTTTGTGCTTTCACATTCTGAGAACAGCCTCGGTCCAACAACTCTGCGAGCGACCCTCAGAGAGAAGCACGTGATCGCGTCCTCATCAGTTCTTCTTGCTGGCGTTCCCAGATGTTCAAAGACGGCCAGCAGTGCCCTTGGAAAGTGCATGGGTCCCAGTGGCTGTCTGTGCAGGGGACATGTGTTCTACTTTGTATACATGTTGGCATTTGTTGAAGTGGATTTATTCCATAAGCAAAATGCCCCACAACACAATGACTTCTGAGAGGGCTGAACATGTACAGGATATAGTTCAGAAACTGCGGGAGGGTGCTTAGTATGAAATCTTGGTGGGAGGGAGGCCCATGGCCTCACCTTCCCCTACTTTGCCTAAAGGAATTGCCTCTGAGCCTGGCTCCTCTCACTGTACCTCCCACCTGAGGGGAGGAAAGAATCTTCTAGCCTGTCACCACTGGCAGCCTTTCATTGATTGTGTCAGGGTTTGTTTTGTTTTTCAAGACAAGGTTTCACTAAGTCATTAAGTTGCCTAGGCTGGTTTGAACTTGGGCTCCTCCTGCCTCAGCCTCCCCGAGTGCTGGGCTGTAGGCATGCACCACAACACCTGGCTAAAGTTTGTTTTTTAAACAAAGATTTGCCCAAAAACCTCTTCTAGCTTTCTCCCTTCTCCTTTCTTCCTTTCTCTTCCACTTAGAGCAAACTCGTTGACCTTTTTGCAGGCTAGTGTGTACTTTCCTCTCCAGTTCACTGCCTTCCTCTAGGGAACTGGTTTGATAACTTCTCAATGGGGTGTTGAAGTCATCCAGTCATAATCCATTAGTTTTATGTGACCCTTTGTGAGGTCAGCGCCTTTCATGTGGCTTCTCAAGCACAGTGGGATTTTTGTAAAATTAATTATATTACGTTACACTCCCGCTGTACCTCAAGCTTCTGTTCAGCCCAGGCTCACTGTGGCATTACAGATTTGACAAAGTGGAGACCAGGGCAAGGATCTTCATTTTGGACAGCTCTTAGGGTGGAATCGTGAAAGCAAACAGGAATGAGTGGAAACGTTGGGTCTCCCTGTAATGCAGAATTTGCCCTCTGCTGCCCTATCCAATTAATTGTATTAAATTGATTGTCTTCATTTGGGGAGAAAGGATATTTTTATATCTGTCAACCTCAACTCCACTTACCTTTTGACAAACACTTTTCACTTTTCTTTGCAGCTGTCAGCCAAGCTCAATAACATCCCAACGCTCATTTCCATGAGGCTAGAGTTCCTGAGAATCCTCTGTAGCCATGAGCATTACCTCAACCTGAACCTCTTCTTTATGAATGCTGATACTGCGCCAGCATCTCCTTCTCCCTCCCTATCGTCCCAGGTAATCAGCTAGCTGAGGAATTTATTCAAGCAATTGCATTTGCTTATCTTAATCGTGTATTTGCTATAAATGTTGGTCTTATGAATTAAAAGAAAAAGCAAGCTATTCAGACAAGATCAACTGATCCAGATAGGACAAGTAGGCTATTCTGACATTGTATTATCTTAACATTTTATTATCTTAATTATTATCTTTTTTTTTTTTTTTTTTTTTTTTTTTTTTTTTTTTTTTT